CTATATGCACATCTGGAAGACCCCAGGCATCAATGGAACTGCAAGTCCCCAGAAACCAGCAAGGAGCCGAAGGCAGACTTGCCTTCCCCTTCTGGACATTTAAAATTTAGGGTTGTAACACGGAGTCATGTTGTGACAAAGAGATCCACAGAAGGAGCCACACTCCCCCAGTGAAATGTCCCGGTGAGATGAGATTACATTACAGCTTCGCACGTTATGGGTTACTGTGCTTTGATAAAAGCAAAGACGTGCTCACGTTGAGAGTAAGCAGGAAACTCAACAAAACCTTCATATTCAGGAGGTGCTCACAAAGAAGCGTAGGCAACTTAAATAAATCTCTTGCCCTGATTCCTGTGCAGGGAAGAAAAAAAAAAAAATCCTATTAAGGACAGAGAAGCCATGAGGTATGGGCTGAAAACACTCTAAAAAGGCCTTCTGAGTAGCACATAAGCAGCAGCAATGAAATATGTGATACATGTTTAAAACTCATTCCACAAGCTGCTTTTCATCTCTCATTGATATATGCGTCCGTTGACAGAGAAATTCCTGATCCCAGGGGAGTGGGCTAAGAAAAGCTGTATTCCTTGGTCTCAGTCATGAGGCGTAATTTTATTTCAGGAAAAAAGATTAGGGCAGCAAGTGTGGATAGCTCAGGGAGAATCTGTGATCTGCTGCAGCAGTGAGTACATTAAAAAGCCATATAAAAGCTACATACAGAATAAAATAATGTCACAGCTATCCCCATGCCTGCAACACTGCACTGAGTGCCGGCTGCTCTGTTACAAAGATGATTTTGTGGAATGGATTGGGCTTGGAGGGGGTCAAAATGTTTAGGGGCACAGGCAGTCTTGGGTAAGAAATGCAGTCAAGAAGACTTGAGGCTGTCCCATGAGTTACTGAGGAAGGGTGGGATCCAGCGGCCATTGGAATAGATCAGGTCACAGGCAAGGAGATCGGGAAGAGTTGAGGAAAAAATGAGAGTTAATAGGCGAAAGCTATATGAGCTGTTCTGATGTGTCTGTTGTCAGAGTGCAAAACTTGTTAGCCACCAGACATCCATCCCTCGCTCAAAATGACAAGCAAGATTCTGGTCTCTCACTGCTACTTGGCTACTTCAAGTCAAACACCAACCTGAATATTAGTTTCTGGAGGCAGAAGGCATTGCCATTAATCCACCCCAGTACCAATTTTGGCCATTTTACATGAATCAAACCAGAAAAGAGTACTGAGAGAGCGCAACAAAGTCAGCACAAACTGCAGTCAGCCAGACGGTGTCTGCACTGCTGCTTCAGCTTGCCAGCCCAGGACGGCCTTGGACACGTTAAAATGGTCCCTAGACGCTGATGTTCAATTATCACATCTCAGGCATGGCAGAAGATGTGAGGAGGCTTCATCTCCAGCTTAATCATTTCAGTTTAAACTAAACGAAGGAATGGCTCCCAGATCAAAGCCAGGCAATCTTGAGTCTGCTGGATGTGGTAACTGGAAAGGGACGTGAGCTCTTCTCTCATCACTGAACTTCCACCACTCCGCTGGAGAAGTCAAGATGTAAATCGGGCCATGGAAGAGGCTGACTTGCAGAATGTAAATGTGGTGTTGATGCTTGAAGATTTTTACCTCCTCAGGGAGGAGGGGTGCACGTTTTTATCTTTCAGCTTGTGGGTGTGGAACTGAAAACTAATCAGATTATGCTACACGTGGCCTCACCAGATGCTGACACTCAGGGACTCCCTTTCTTTGTACCGTGTACACCACCCACCAGTTTTTTTGTGTGTGTGGTTTTTTTTTCTGGTACCAAGGAGATCTGGTTACCAGATTTTCAACAGATGCTTTTATCACCCTCAAGTGGGTTAGCTATTTTCAGTCATCGCCCAGTTCTATCTTTTTTGCTTTTGCCTTAACAACAAGAAGTATCGTGGGAGTCAGGTGTCTCCGTGAAAGAGCCAAGGGAAGGCAGAAAGGTCATGAAAGCAAGAACCTGGGCTCT